AACTGTTTTGGATCCAGTGTAAACTGGGTCTTGCAACGAGCTAAATACTTTTTATAACACTGAGCGTTAAGCACGGTGAAATCGGACCGAGCACTTAAGTATCGGGAAAAGGCAGCTTGTGAACCTGAAGCTCTAAACTTTTTGTAGAGTCTAGACTTTACATTTTTAAGTCGTGCCAGCTCTTTGTTAAACCACGGAGGTTGGTTTGAAATTTTAGGATAATACGTAGGAACGCATGTATCAAAAACTTCGTTTAATATGTTATAAAATATATTAACCGCTTCATTTATATTAGTACTTAAGTACAGATTGGACCAATCCGAGCAAGCTATAAGGCTATTAATGAGTGCAAAGTTCGCTTTACGAAAGCAGGGGATGCGTTTAGCTATTTTTTCAGATACTTCATACACTTTTGTACCCGTGTCAATAGTCAGCTCTAGCGTTGGGTGATAAGGGTCTTCTGGTAAAGTAATTGCAGAGGTTCTAGCTATGCAGACACAATCTGGACTGGAAACAAAGCATAGATCCAGTAATCGTCCTAAGAAATTTAATACATGATTTACTTGAGACAATGAAATATCAAGCAAACCGTCAAGAAAATCATGCTGCGTTGAAGGTAACAATATATTTGAGGTTTCGACGGTGGACCATGTCGCCCTAGGTATATTAAAGTCACCTAAAACTATTAACTGATCCCTATCTGATAGTTTACTTGAAATAAACTGGATAGCGGACAGATGATTCGCATATGTTGGGAATTCCGATGATGGCGGAATATATGAACATGTTATGTATATAGAAATACCCGGAAGGGATAGTTTTATACACAGAAATTCAATGTCATTTATTTCGTCGGACGTTATTACTTCAGACGTTAATTCTGAGTCAACTGCAATTAAAACTCCACCTCCACGTCGGGACGGACGATCAAGCCTGTAAGTTGTGTACTTACTTGGAAAAACTTCGGAACTTAGAACTTCCGGTTTTAACCAGGTTTCAGTAAAAACAATAACATGGGAAGACAAGGAAAAACTATCAGTATACAATTTGGTCAACTTACTTTGTAAACCTCTTGTATTCTGATAATAAAGCTGAAGAAAAGAATCTAGTTTTTTGAGATAGATGAGGATGTAGATGTGGATGGCTCTTTAAAGGGATTTCCAACTTCCTTTGAACGAATTTTCTTTTTTTTAGCTTCGTACTCTTTAACAAAAACGCCAACAGGCCAAAAATTGGCTGAGCACATAGTTGCAAAATGAGCACAGGGAACACCGATCTTAAAAGATGATACTTCCCTAGCATATGGAAAATTAAATCGTTCAACCTTTAGATCTGAACTTTGTTACGGATATAGGCCGTAATGTCCAGCGATGAAAGGTCAGGATTTAGCCGAGAAACAAAAATTTGTTTCCGCTGCGGTACACAGGTGACTGTTTTAGGTACCACGCATGTGACAGGTTTAGGTACTACCGCATTTACGGCTGCACTACCAGTTTCATTCGGTACTCCGGACGTTAAGTCAACATGCGGCGTTGGAATTATTAAAGTATTGCTTATAGCAGATTTTTCGGGCGTCTCATGCGGCAAAATCTCGCGTCCTTTGCATTCGGAAACCGAATCTTTTTTAGCTTTCGATCTCAGTACCATTTGTGCGGCGGCTGAGATCGACTGCTGTGCTGCAGACCCCGGATCGCCAGAGAGAGTTACACTAGCGGCTACCGTGGGTTGTCTATCGACCGCGATCTTTTTACGCTTAGGAGAATCGGGCTCAGATAGCATACGGCTAGTGAGCTGCGACTCAAGCGCCACAAGCAGATCCGTATTTTTACGGCTGTTCCGGATTAATTCCGTAACAGTGCTTTTTGTAAGCCGCCTTATAGAGAGTGCCTGGGTTTCATAAGCAATGCATTCATCACAATAGTAGCGCAAGCCACTTCTCATGTCGATTGCATCGCGTACCAGGCCCGAATAGCCAAGGCATTTTGCATGAAAAATATTCTCACACGAATGGCACGGAATGCTCTGTTGTCCAGCCGAAATTAACGACTTGCATTTCTTTAAATTGCAGACAGCCATTATCGCGATATTCCGAACCACAGTGCCAAGAGAATAAAGCTACGCAAGTAAAAGAGAGAGTTAGAGAGCGGGAGAGAATGAGCGGGAGTAAGTAAGCTGGGGGAGCGTAAGTTTTAGATGTTCCAAAAACAAAGTTATAAGCGGGAGTGCGGGAGAGCGGGTAACTACCGTTTAGACCAGTGGTCGGCACACACATACCATCACAAGTTTGCCTTGCATTAGTGTGAGTGTAACAAACACGAAGTTTGCGCGCGGCGTGCTGAAGCGAGACGTTTCTCTGCTTTGCACTGAGATCCTCTGCCGCAGCAACAAAAAAGCGCGCCGAAGTTTAGAAAAAATGACCCGAAGACTTATGCCGAAGTCACACGAACATGTACGTTATACGTGAGCGAGCAGAGGATGGGCAGAACACTTCCCTATGCTCACTAGATAGGCCGCTGCCGACCACTGGTTTAGACACTTACCGCTCCAAACAGCGTTTGGAAGAAAAGAAGAAGGCAATTAGAAAAAAACTATAACAACAAACACTGCACAGAGATTAGACGTGCAAACTAATTTTGTTAATTTAAACACAAAACAATCACTATACACTCGCGAAGAGAACGGATGTTGTTAGGGACATAAAAAGTTATATAGACGTATGAAAATATGAATTAAACCCCGATGGTTTATGGACAAAAAGAACAAAAATTCGGAGCGCAAGACAAAACCACGACCGTTCACTGAAAGTTCTCTCTTTATGACTATAAGATTATGACTATAAGATATAGTTTTCCGATCCGGCTGGTTCCGACTCATATACTACCTGCAAAAGATATAAGACTTTTGGGAAAGTTTCAGCCCGATAGCTTTAAAACTGAGAGACTAGTTTGCGTAGAAACGGACGGACAGACGGACAGACGGGTATGGCTAGTCATGCTGATCAAGAATATATATACTTTATGGGGTCCGGAAACGTCTTCTTCACTGCGTTGCAAACTTCTGACTGAAATCAATATACCCTCTGCAAGGATATAAAAATGTACTTATTTTTTTTACGGGTTTGATAACTTTTAAATATTTATTTAACTACAATCCATGGGACCCTTTTTTATAGTTTATAACGTTATGTCTTACGTAAATTAGCAATTTTATGGTTGGGGGCCGTCTTACTATTATATTGGTAAATTTTACTGTTGGAACTTACTTCATTTATGATAAAGGTATTTAAAAACCATTCTTATAAGTCATTCTCGGATATTTATGTACGCAGATGATGTTAAATTATGCCTTCTTGCCAGTTTTACTTACAATCCGCTTTAAATTGTTTTCAAGCATAGTGCTCTGAAAATTTTCTGAATTTAATTGGTTTCAAGTGTAAGGGGGACTTTTTTTCGTGTCAATCCTCAATATGCGACTTACATGCTGAGTGGGAGATCTTTGGATAGAATAACTCTAGTAAACGATCTTGGTGTCCCTTTGGACCCAAGACTAAAGATTGCTGATCACATTTCGTCCATGGTGAAAAAAAGCTTGTCTTTATTAAAAGGTGGCCCTTATATTACAAAGACCTTATTTATTCCGCATGTCCGCCCGATACTTGAGTATGGATCTCCCGTCCCCAATACGGAATTCATATTGATCGTATCGATTTTGTACAAAAGAACGGTTTGCTTTAAGGCGCCCAGGCCTAGCCAACCGTAGAACGGAGCTTGAAACAATCTTCATATATAACCTTACTCGAAGCCAATTTGGTAGCCTCGACTTGGTTAGCCAACTTACCTTTTCTGTTCTATAAAGAATAACAAGAAATTAAATTTCCCTAATTTTAAATCATTGTATATCCAACTATGACTTGCACAAGCTTTTCAGAGTGTTATGACTATAATAGACTTTATCCTATTTTATCAAGTTCTTACTTTCCGACTCTCTTCAAACGATTAATAATAAACTTTTCAACACATAATTAGATCCTACTTTTGTCCTTAACCTACCTTTATCTTAATTTGTATACCCGTTACTCGTTGAATAAAGGGGTATTCTTGATTCGTCGGAAAGTATGTTACATGTAAAAGGAAGCGTTTCCGACCCCATAAAGTGCGTGAGTTACGTATAACCCCACTTCACTTCTCACATATGTCCAAAACCCAATTTCTTCTTTACCACCTCTTAATAATAAAGTACAAGAATTGCTTAACTCATTAAATGCTAAATAAACAATATATTAAAGTAATACAGCAAACAGGAAATGCACAGGTTAACGATCTGGCACATGCCAACCAAAATAAGTTCTAAGAAAATATAAAATCCAAATAAGCAATATAACACAGTAAACAGGAAATGCATAGTTCATCGATCGTTATTAAATTCAGGCTAACTAGAGGCCAACGATCTTACACATGTCGACCAGAATAATTCGTAAGAAAACCTAATAAGCACTTCTGTAAACATAAATTAAGTTTTCTTTAAAACATTATCAATAAAGAATATTCAGTTGATTTTTGCCCACCAAACCCGCTTGACGTGTTTTACTTACAAATAATTTATTTTTTTTAAAACTTCGCAACTCCTTAAACAAAATTGGCGCAGCCGGTAGGATCCTTTTTAATTAAAGAGGGTCCAGTGATTATTCAAATCGAACTTAACGTGAAGAAAAAAAAATATAACAAAAATTTTTTGTGATAAATAAAAAATACAAAAAGTCAGCGAACAGAAGCGAACTAAAAATCAGTCCGCTAAGTGAACGTGGTGCAGTGCATAGAAAAGTGCATTGATCAAAGCAAAACCAGACCAAGCAGCGCAACAGCATTAAATCCAACTAAAAATCAGTGGATTAATGCCTGTAGAGATCGAACTAAAATCGACTTAGACAGCGCTAAGAAGGAAATCAACTCAACCTGGATATAAGAAGGCAGCGAAGGATCGCTTCATACGACAATAGCAGGATGGCTCACGATAACGGCCAGATGCCCCAAGCGGATCTTTTGGAACAATTGGCCATAAGGGAAAGACAGCTGGAGCAACTGCAACAAGCGTATGTACAGCTCCAGGGAAATGGAAACAACCCAGCCCAACAAGAGCGGTTGTTCAAAAACATCAATCGTTTGGCAACCTTTACGGGAACCGGGGAAATCTCCATCAACTCCTTCTTCAGTAGCGTGGAGTACCTGTTACAGACGGTAGAGGACCCACAACTCAAGAGAGAAGCCACAAGGACAATATTCTACAGGACAATTCAGGGTCAAGCAAAGGATGCAGTAATAAATATCCCGGAGCCGGACAACTGGGACCTGATAAAAGCCACCTTGAAGTTAAGGTACAGACCAGACACGGAGCCGCACCAAATCTACAAGAGGATATGTGACCTGAGAGTGAATTCGGTGAGCGAGCTTGCAGTAGAAATTCAAAATATAAAATATAAAAATGGTGAATTAATTGTGTATCATATGAATGATAATTTTATAGATTTAAGTAATGTCGAAAGTTTATTAGTTAACACAGCCAAAGAAATGACACAAGGCACTTTACTAGACAAGATCTACGAAGTCAGAGATTTAAGCACTATATTAAAGATAATGATGCAACGCAGATATGAGAATAGTTGCATTAGGTATCAGTATAGGAAAGGTAGACCTAATCAAAACAATTACAGGAACAACAACCAAAATACCAATCAACAATATAATCAGCAAAACAATACAATGCAAAATGCACATCAAAATAAGAATACCAATCAACAATATAATCAGCAAAACAATACAATGCAAAATGTACATCGAAATTATCAGAGCAACAATTCAGGACAAGTTAGACAGAACAATACCCCTCAGAATTTTAGAGGCAATAACTCCGGACAAAGTAGACGATATCAAAATAATCAGTGGAATCAACAAGCAGGATCACATCAGTCTAGGCAAAATAGGCCAGCGAATGTGGTACCTATGGAGGTAGATAACATAGAAGCCAACCAACACCAAAACAATACCGACCAAAGCAGATACGAAAATGACAACTACAACAGTGACCACAACTCGAACAGTAAACACGATAATAATCAAATGGAAAACTATCCACAGGCAGAATTCAATAATACGGTTTTTTTTACGAAGCCGCCTCGGATGGGTTACCACTACGAAAATACTAGAAATACGTGGCCTTAATAGACACAGGAGCCACCTTGAGTTTAGTTAGCGACCAGATTAACGGTTACAGAAAAATGAGACTAAATACGCCCATACCATACAGTACAATTAACAGCAAAGACGTAATAGCGTACGAAATTCATACCACAGCCCCAAAAGAATTTAACTTACCAAATAACGCAAGAGTACGATGGAAATTAGCCCCGCTTAAGGGAAGAAAATACAATTTTATCATAGGGATAGACCTCCTAAATTTTTTGAATGCATTTATAAACATTGAGAGGAAGGATTTAATTTTAAATCAAAAAGAAAACGTAATTATAAACAATCCATATCAATACGAAGAAGTTTCCGTATTAGAAAGTAGCAGTAAAAACTTAGAGAATTTGAAACTCGACCACTTAAATGAAGAAGAAGTCAGAGAAATTAAAGTCATTGTACAACGATTTAGCAAACTTTTTTTTAAGGAGGGAGACCAACTAACTAGTACGACAGAAATTGAACACGAAATACAAACCAATACAGAGGAACAGTTAAACTCAAAACTTTATAGATACCCACCACAACACGAGGAAGAAGTTAGGAAACAAATAAAAGAAATGGATGAACAGGGTATAATTAGAAAGAGTAATTCAAGATACTCTAGCCCACTTATAGTAATCCCGAAGAAGATCGACAACTCAGGAAAGAAAAAGTTTAGGATAGTAATAGACTACAGGAAGTTAAATGAAATAACCATAGACGACAAATTTCCGATTCCGAACATTAATTCTATTTTGGATAAACTAGGAAGAGCTCAATACTTCACTACAATAGATTTAGCCAAAGGCTACCATCAGATCTTAGTCCGAGAATCAGACAGAAAAAAAACGGCATTCGTAACGCCACATGGACTATATGAGTTTATAAGAATGCCATTTGGGTTGAAAAATGCCCCTGCCACATTCCAAAGACTTATGAATGAAATACTTAGGGATCACATTAATAAAAAATGCGTCGTGTATCTAGACGATATACTTATTTTCAGCACCTCATTAAAAGAACATATTCAAGCTATTAACGAAATATTCCAAATATTAGAAAAGAAAAATTTAAAAATACAGATTGACAAGTGTAACTTCATGAAAAAGGAGACTGAATTTCTAGGACATATCCTTACAAAAGAGGGCATTAAGCCAAATCCAAATAAGATCGCAATCATAGAAAAATTACTGTTACCACGAACAGAGAAGCAAATAAAAAGCTTCTTAGGTATAACAGGTTATTACAGAAAATTTATAAAAGATTATGCTAAAGTAGCACAGCCAATAACCAAGTATTTGAAAAAAAATGTTAAAATAAATCTAAAAGACCCCACCTATGTCGAAGTATTTGAAAAATTAAAACATTTAATCAGTTCTCACCCAATTTTAAGATATCCCAATTTTGAAAAAAAATTTACATTAACTACAGATGCATCAAATTATGCAATTGGATCTGTCCTATCTCAAGACGGTCATCCAATCTGCTTTGCATCAAGAACGCTAAACAATCATGAAAAAAATTACTCAGCAACAGACAAAGAATTCCTAGCAATACTATGGAGCGTCAATTATTTCAGACCATACCTTTACGGGAATAATTTCAAAATATTAACTGACCACCAGCCAATAAAATTCTTACACTCAAAACATAAAGGTAAAGATATTTCACCCAGACACCAGAGATGGTTACTAAAATTAGGAGAATATCAATTTGAGATAGATTACTTGAAAGGAAAAGAGAACAGAGTGGCAGATTTTCTTAGCAGACTGGAAGACAGCGACCTCACGAACAAAACCGAAAACGAAAGAGACAATGAATACGAAGATAATATTTCAGACATAAACATGATAGCAAACATTGAAGATAATCTCTCAACATCAACAGTACACTCAGCCGAAGAAAATTTACACAATCATTTTTATATAAAAGAGGAAATAGTTAACAAATATAAAACACAAATAATTATTACAGACAGTAAAACAGACGAGTATAAAACAATATATGGAAAACCAATAATATTTATAGCAAAACATGACTTTCCAACAATGGGATATATTTTCAGGAAATATATACACAAAGGAAAAGTCGGAATCTATTCAGAATTATCGTATCAAGAGTATAACATAGTACAAGAAAAACTAATAGAAATGTTTTCAGACAACACACAATTAGAATTCATAAAATGCTCACTCAGAGCTCAAGATATTGAACATGAAACAGAAGCAGTAAGACAAATTTCGTTTTATCATGTAAGAGAAAGTATGCACTCAGGAATTCAGGAAACATATAACCAATTGAAAAACAAGATTTACTTTCCAAAATTGTTAGAGTTGGTGCAAATGGCTATAAATCAATGCGATTTTTGCAAAGAAATAAAATATGATAGAATTCCTATTAAAAATAAATTCAGTAAAACGGAAACCCCATCAGATAAAAATCAGATAATACACTTGGATACATATGTAATAAAAAATACACATTTTTTAACGACCATAGATACATTTTCAAAGTTCGCAGCAGTATACTTATTAAATGATAGAAATCATATCACTATAGTAGAACAATTGGAGGAACATTTTACGAAAATAGGCAAACCAGGTAAAATAATAGCTGATAACGAATTTGATTCATTCAGGATTAAAGAACTACTAAGACAAGAAGGGATAGAATTACACTTAACAAAACCGAATAGTCACACTGGCAATTCAGATGTAGAATTCACAATTCACTAGCAGAAAAGTTTAGAATAACATATAAAACGGAAGCGTCGAATATGTCAGTAAAACAAATTATGCAGAGAGCAGTGAGAAATTACAATGAAAGATATCACTCAACAATCAAATGTACCCCCAGCGAAGCCCACAACAATAAGATAGAATTGACAAAAATAAAAGAAACAAGGAAGAACGCTATAGTCGAGTACCTCGTCTATAAGATACCCGTTACTCAAAGGGAAATGGAGATATGCAAGCAGCAAAGCGAAATTAAAATGCGCCACCTACCGGCGGTAGACATATTTAAGCGTTATGGGCGTTAGAGTGGGCGTGGCAAATTTATTTTTGGATCAATCGATAGGTATTGACGACACCAATACATTTCAGTTAAAATTTGTTATCTAGCATGCAAATTGTGGGCGTCACAGGTTTTCGCGGTTTGTGGGCGTTTAAGTGGGCGTGGCAAACTTTTTTTAAAATCAATTGATAGGTATTGACGACACCAATACATTTCAGTTAAAATTTTTTATCTAGCATGCAAATTGTTGGCGTCACAGGTTTTCGCGGTTTGTGGGCGTTTAAGTGGGCGTGGCAAACTTTTTTTTAAGTCAATTGATAGGTATTGATGAGAACAATACATTTCAGTTAAAATGTTCTATCTAGCATCAAAACTGTAGGAGTTACAGTTTTGGGCGGTTTGTGGGCGTTATAGTGGGCGTGGCAGTCTACTGAAACAAACTTGCGCTGCGTAAGAAGCTCAGGAATCTGTACGCCAAATCTCAACAGCCTAGCTCTCATAGTTTCCGAGATCTCAGCGTTCATCCGGACAGACAGACGGACAGACGGACATGGCTAGAGCGACTCGGCTAGTGATCCTGATCAAGAATATATATACTTTATGGGGTCGGAAACGCTTCCTTCTGCCTGTTACATACTTTCCGACGAATCTAGTATACCCTTTTACTCTACGAGTAACGGGTATAAATATAGATAGCGCTAAACAAAAAATGTTAGAAAAGCACAACGGCAACAGGGAGCATTATGAAGAAAAGCGAGAAGAGGGTTTTATAAAGAACTACAAGGCAGTCAGACACAAAGAAGCTCCGAAATTCAAAAAAGCAAATCTCGGTAATATTGACCCAATAAATATTAAACGCCCTTATAAATTTACAGAAAATACTAACGACGACTATGTTGCTGACGACAATACTAATGACAATGGCAATAACAACAACAGCGGGAACACTAACGATTCAAGAAATACCTGATCAGGACGGGTATGCGCAAATAGAGATGAAAAATCAAGATATAATTATCACAACAGATATAGTAGTACATATAATAAACTTAAAAGATATTGACAATATTTTGAACGAAATAGGAAAAAACATAGAAATGACAAACAATGACAACAAACACATATTACAATCGGAACTAACTGAAACAAAAAACAAATTGTATACCCTATATGGAAACCACAATCGCGGAAGAAGAGGATTAATTAATGTAGTAGGTAGTTCAGCAAAATGGTTGTTTGGAACAATGGACGATGAAGACAGGAAAGAAGTTGAGAATCATATCTCTACATTTAAAGAAAACATGCAGGAAACAGATGAAGCATTAAACAAGCAAATTTACATAAATAAGTATTTCAATGATACAATAAAATACATTGAACAAATAGTTAAATCAGATAGAGAGGCAATAGAGAGACAATTGAATGCAATTAGCAAATTCGAAAATAACAGATACCAGGAGAACTTATATTACGACCAACAGGTAAAAATTCAGTTAATAAAAAATAAGATTAAACATTTGCGGGATAACGTTGCTTCTGCTAGATACAATATATTACATCCCAGCATATTAACAGATCACGAAATAAAAAAATACAATATCGATTTCAACAAACTAAACCATATAAAGTTAGCTACGGCTATGTTCAGAAATAATCTTTTAGTATTCGCAATAGAAATACCAAAAAACTTTATAACAGTAAAAATACAACAGATATACCGATGCCTAATGAAGAAAACTTTGAAATAGATCAGGAATCAGAACTGGTATTTAACTATAAAAATTCAACATACACCTATAAAACAAATAAAAAATTAAAAGAAATGCGAAAAAGTAAACATTGTGTATTTAAGAAAAATTGCAAACTGATACAAAGAAATGAAATGCAAATATTAGAACTAGACGAAGAAACCGTAGTAATTAAGAATGCTAAAAATGAAACATTATATCAAAATTGTAACAGCAATGAAATTAAAATGAAAAAAAATATTCTAATACACTTTACAAATTGTACAATAGGTATAGAAAATAATTATTTTACAAATTCATACGAATTAGATAAGAAAAGAATTTTATATGAGAAATCAAACCAAACTCAAAATTTTACTAAACAAATCACTTTTGAGAAAATATTGGAAAATAATAAGATTAACTGGTCGAACATAAGAAAATTAAAAACACATAAAAACATAAATTATTTTTTTAATGCAACCATACTTTTGTCAATAATTGTATTAATTGCTTACATTGTTTTAAAACACAAGAAAATTAAAATTCAGCTCAATAACAATAGAATTCAGGAGAATTCTTATCTAAAAGGGGGAGAAGTTACGTATAACCCCACTTCACTTCCCACATATGTCCAAAACCCAATTTCTTCTTTACCACCTCTTAATAATAAAGTACAAGAATTGCTTAACTCATTAAATGCTAAATAAACAATATATTAAAGTAATACAGCAAACAGGAAATGCACAGGTTAACGATCTGGCACATGCCAACCAAAATAAGATCTAAGAAAATATAAAATCCAAATAAGCAATATAACACAGTAAACAGGAAATGCATAGTTCATCGATCGTTATTAAATTCAGGCTAACTAGAGGCCAACGATCTTACACATGTCGACCAGAATAATTCGTAAGAAAACCTAATAAGCACTTCTGTAAACATAAATTATGTTTTCTTTAAAACATTATCAATAAAGAATATTCAGTTGATTTCTGCCCACCAAACCCGCTTGACGTGTTTTACTTACAAATAATTAATTATTTTTAAAACTTCGCAACTCCTTAAACCAAATTCGCGTGGCAAACTTTATTTGGTATTGCTATTCACGAGACCAATACACTTCAGCTAAACATTTTTAGGTAGGAGTAGGCGTGGTCAATCTATAGCTATTGACGAGACAAATATATTATATTTCAGTTAAAATTTTTATCCTAGCACTAATACTGTGGGCACCATCGTTTTGGGCGGTTTGTGGGCCTTGGAGTGGGCGTGGCATTTTGGCGCTACAAACTTGCGTTGCGTACAGTGCTAAGGAACCAAAATCCCAACTCCATAGCTTTGCTAGTTTCCGAGATATCCCCGTTCATATAGACGATGTTTTGAAGTTTGTGGGCGTTAGAGTGGGTGTTAAAAGTTTCCGAGGTCACAGCGTTCGCACGGGCAGACTACAGACGAACATGGCTAGATCGACTCGGCTAGTGAAACGCTTCCTTCTACCTGTTACATACTTTCCCCGAATGCAATATACCCTGATACTCTACAAGTAAACGGTATAAAAAAGTAAATCTCTAGTTTACGAATTGCACAAAAAAATTATCCTCGACGGACCGCGAACTCTAAATTTACAAGTAGAAATTAAGGCGCTGCTTGCCATGGTTCTCTTGCAAATTTGCGTGTTTTGCTATAAAATAAAGTATTCTTTTCTACTATTTGGAGTGTTTTGCTATAAAAACATACAATATTCCTTGTCAAAATAATAAGCATTCTAAAAAATTCGACAAAAATGTTTTTATAACAGGACAGTCCCCAAAACCCCGAATTAAATATCCTCGATGGACCGCTATACATTAAGAACATGTGTGACCATGGACGACCAACATATATCTTTTTAAAGAGAATATAAATTAATCGCGGATTGACTAATAGGAGCAAACATTTTAATTCAAAAAGCCGTGATTGCGAGCAAAATTAATTTAAATCTGTAAGGTATTGAATAAAACATATTTTGTATGGTATTTTTTATTTAATCATAAATACTTTTGCGCACCTCCATATCATAGAATTGGACGAATTACTTTCAACGTCTGCATCGGATGGATCTTAAATAAATATTAATGTATGGGAGAATTATTTCTGATGTATGTAAAAATAGATCTTTATTAATTTTTATGTTCACGATTTTTATACCCGTTACTCCAAGATTAAAGATTCGTCGGAAAGTATAAAGTATAAGTATAGTGATCAGGATCACTAGCCGGGTCGATCAGCCATGTTTTTCTGTCCGTATGAACGCTGAGGTGTTCTAAAGTATTCTTGGTCTTCCTGCGCATAACGACATTTAAAAATATTTTGTAAACATTTTAATGAGGTTTTGTTCTTTTTATCAATACCGATATACATTCCAAAAATGACCATAATAACCATGCACCTCACAAACGAGCAACGCTGCGCAGAAGGCCCAAGAAACTGCATGCTTAGTACCAACATTCTAGCTCTTTTATATTTCATACGGACAGACAGACATGGCTAGATCGACTCGGCTAGTGATCCTGATGAAGAATATACTCGTATAAACTTGATGGTGTCGGTAACGCTGCCCTCTATCTATTACATACTTTTAGACGAATCTACACTCAGGGAAAAACACCGTGCTAAAAACAAGTACAAACAGCCTCGATTTAAGAAAAATAGCGTCCTTAACATTTAAAAACGTTCGTGCTCAAAAAATTCTCATATTGAGCACTTTTTGGAATTTTAATGTCTGACAACTCTAATAATTCCCAACTGTTTATTCTGAAAGTACTCGGTATATAAGGCGCATAAATTAGACAGTGTTAATGCCCGTGAGCGGCCAGTCGTAAGTAAATTTAAAATATTAATATTACTTATATATATCTCGTTTATTTCGTTTCAGTTTCTAATACTTATTTCTCTTACTAGCATAAAATAAAAACTCATTTTAATTTCATAATATTTATATATTGATTTAAGAATTATTCGTCCTTAAATCATGCCTGCAACTTTCTTACTTTATTATTAAATCGTTCTTATTTTTAGTCCAAATATGACTTGATTTAAGAATTATTTATACTTGATTGAAGACCGAAAGGTAAGGAGTAAAAGATATACTACACTCAGAAAAAAAATCAAGTATTTCGTGCTTGAACCTAGTATTTTCGGTCTTGAAAATTCGTGCTCAGAAGTAGTATTTTGTTCTCGCGTTCTGTATTTTCCATGCTTGGCGAAGTTTTGACACCGAAAATACTAGGTTCAAGCACGAAATACTTGATTTTTTTCTGAGTGTAGTATATCTTTTACTCCACGAATAACGGGTATAACAATGGAGTCTTTGGCTGCATACCCGTTACTCGTAGAGTAAAAGGGTATACGCTAGGTGGCGTGTTTCTGTGAAAGAGCCATATCTGTCGCAGCCCTTTAGTTGAGTAACGGGTAGTCGAGACCATCGACTATTTCTCTTGTTAAGATTGCAGAACTTCTATCTTTTTTATGAACATATTAATGTAGATTGAATGGGACTCTATTTTGTGTAGAAACGGTCGGGCTGATGGACGGGTGGAAAGACGAAGAAAGCTATATCTAATCGTCTTGTGATGCTTACAGCGATCGGCAGTTTTGCATGAAGCGAATCGAATTTTTAAGTCAATTGATAGGTATTGATGAGAACAATACATTTCAGTTAAAATGTTCTATCTAGCATCAAAACTGTAGGAGTTACAGTTTTGGGCGGTTTGTGGGCGTTATAGTGGGCGTGGCAGTCTACTGAAACAAACTTGCGCTGCGTAAGAAGCTCAGGAATCTGTACGCCAAATCTCAACAGCCTAGCTCTCATAGTTTCCGAGATCTCAGCGTTCATCCGGACAGACAGACGGACAGACGGACATGGCTAGAGCGACTCGGCTAGTGATCCTGATCAAGAATATATATACTTTATGGGGTCGGAAACGCTTCCTTCTGCCTGTTACATACTTTCCGACGAATCTAGTATACCCTTTTACTCTACGAGTAACGGGTATAAATATAGATAGCGCTAAACAAAAAATGTTAGAAAAGCACAACGGCAACAGGGAGCATTATGAAGAAAAGCGAGAAGAGGGTTTTATAAAGAACTACAAGGCAGTCAGACACAAAGAAGCTCCGAAATTCAAAAAAGCAAATCTCGGTAATATTGACCCAATAAATATTAAACGCCCTTATAAATTTACAGAAAATACTAACGACGACTATGTTGCTGACGACAATACTAATGACAATGGCAATAACAACAACAGCGGGAACACTAACGATTCAAGAAATACCTGATCAGGACGGGTATGCGCAAATAGAGATGAAAAATCAAGATATAATTATCACAACAGATATAGTAGTACATATAATAAACTTAAAAGATATTGACAATATTTTGAACGAAATAGGAAAAAACATAGAAATGACAAACAATGACAACAAACACATATTACAATCGGAACTAACTGAAACAAAAAACAAATTGTATACCCTATATGGAAACCACAATCGCGGAAGAAGAGGATTAATTAATGTAGTAGGTAGTTCAGCAAAATGGTTGTTTGGAACAATGGACGATGAAGACAGGAAAGAAGTTGAGAATCATATCTCTACATTTAAAGAAAACATGCAGGAAACAGATGAAGCATTAAACAAGCAAATTTACATAAATAAGTATTTCAATGATACAATAAAATACATTGAACAAATAGTTAAATCAGATAGAGAGGCAATAGAGAGACAATTGAATGCAATTAGCAAATTCGAAAATAACAGATACCAGGAGAACTTATATTACGACCAACAGGTAAAAATTCAGTTAATAAAAAATAAGATTAAACATTTGCGGGATAACGTTGCTTCTGCTAGATACAATATATTACATCCCAGCATATTAACAGATCACGAAATAAAAAAATACAATATCGATTTCAACAAACTAAACCATATAAAGTTAGCTACGGCTATGTTCAG